GGAGACCAAGGCATTGCGTGCGGGCGCAGCAGACTGCGGAGATTCCCGCAGCTGAGGCTCTGGAGGCTCCGTGACTGCGGGCGCGGCGGGCGCGGTGCCCCGCTGTGTGGGCGGGATTGCAGGTGCACTTTGCGAGTCTGTTGCAGGAGCAGTAGCGTTGGTTATGGTGTGGTGGTCCTCGGTGGAGGCGATGGTGGTGATGGCGGTACTGGTGGCCGGCTCGGTGAGAGTTTGGGCGTGGGTGTCAATGGTGGGCGGCGGGCGGTAGGTGGGGGGAAACCCTGGCGGGGTGTACTGGGTGCCGTGGTCCGCGTAGCTTCTCTTGCGGCTCTGAGGTGAGGGCGCAAAGGCTGGTACAGGAGAGGGTTGGCAGCAGGTGGGCTTTGGCGTTTGTGGCGCGTCGAATCGCCGCTGTGCTGGGTTGGTCAGGGCGAGGCGGGAGGAGTGTGTGGTCGAGGAGATGGAGGTGCGTCGCGAGGCATGCTGGTAGGGGCGGTGGGCGGGGGTGTGAAAGGTAGTGTTGGGCGAGGGAGGTTGCGAGATGGTGGGCGAGGATGTGATCATGTCTGAGTTGTAGCGGGTAGCGGGTAGCGGGATGCTAGGGTGGGGGAAGACGACAAGAACGGGCAACTGCTGTGCGCATCATAGCCGGGCCCTGTTGAGATAGGAGGGTATTTTTGGCGGAAAACGTGGAGAAGAAAAAGGGGACCGCAGGGCCAGCGCAAGGCAGAGACAGAGGCAAAGGCTTGATGCGGCATGCCAGACGAGAAGGTAGCAATGCCGCTCCTGTGAGGCCTGGCTTGGCTGGCGTTCAGGCGATAGCTGGGGCGCACGTGTGACGTCTGGGGACTTTAGTAGGCTGCCCGTCTGAGGCCTGGCAACCATGGCTTGACAGGCCGAATGCGGCGCCCCCATTTGGTTGCGTTGCAGTCAGTCGAGCTGGCTCGCATGTTGCCGAACAAGAAAGTAATTCTCACCGCATGTCTTGGGATGTGCTCGTCCGTCAATTGGCCACGGAGCAGCGTGTTGCCCAATGATACGAGCCTGGGCCGTACCTGCGACATGGAGGGAACATGTCCAGGCCAAAATTTCCGGAAGATGACGACTGTTTGTTAGCTGCCGCTGCCCCTAGCTCCGACTGTGGGCTAGAGAATTTGCTCCCAGCTAGTCATGCTCGTCTCGATGCCACCGACAACCATTTGCTCATGCGCCTGCGTGGCGTTTTTTCTCTTCTCGCTGCTGCTGCTGCTGTTCCACAGGGACCTAGCCGGCTCACTTGCACTTGCGTGTGCCTCGTCGCAGCGGGTGCGGGCGTGAACATCTCCACAACTGCTTACTTGGTTAGTAAGTGCATGGCAGGAGTAGGAACCAAGGCCATGTGTGGTATGCGATTAGATAATCGCTTGTGCCACGGTCGTTCCTGCCCTGCGATAAGATGCTGGCTAGCCCCGCCCAGCCCACGCTAGCCCGTGTGTAGCCGGAGCACGTTGCCCATTCTCCCCTCCTCACTCGACAACCACCTCGCACGCCTGTCCGAACGGGCTACCTCGCTCCCAGAAGGCCCGATCGCCCTCTCTCCCGACACTCACACACGGTTGTGGCAACGGCGACATACATACTCTACATACTACTCTACATATTTACGCCCTGCTCTAGTCAACTTTTACATAACTACTTACTATCAATCCTACGTCTCTTACTCTACACTTGACCCCTCTTTGCCGCACTTCCCGATCCAACACACACACTCACTCACACACATCACGGGCTGCTGCGGGCGGGAGCATGGCAGCCTGTCTACCCAGCCAATCACCTCGCTTGGCTGCTGTCGTGATCTACCCATGCTCCTCGCTAACATGCAGTGCCTTCCCCGTAGTAACCTCCTTGTCCTCCATTCCCCCGTTTCCTATTGCAAATGCCATGCTTACGTAAATGCCACCCAAGGGCAGGAGTCATGTCTCGGCACTAGCTATGCCTGAATGCCCGAATGCCCAGGCAGATGGCCTTGCTATTACCTACTATACACAACACTTTCCTACATCACCGACCCACCCGTCTCCACCCACGTCAATTACAAACACATCACCCGCAACCGCTTCTCTTCTTTCCTCGTAAAATCTCAATTGTCACATGGCTGCACTAACTAACGCCGCTTATCTGCCTCCTTTACCCTGAAATGCTGGTATCGCATAGTTCGCATGCAAAAAAAAAACAATACAAATAACCGCTCCCTTTTTTTCACAACCTTCCATTATCGCTTCATGTCCTCTTGACATGCTCTGGTGCCTCGAGCTCGGCTGAAAAGCCCTGCTGCCCGATTGGCGGACTATGTAGCTCTGCCGGTGCCGGTTGTGTGCTCATGTGCGCATACTTCAATTGGTCGAGTCTAATTGAGAAAGAAAAAAACCCCGAGTGTCAGCATGCATCTACAATCACAGATTTAGTTTCATGACTTACTGCGCCTGGCTCATGCCGCTCGTACTGCTCATCATGCTCAAGTGTCCTTGGTGCGGTATCGGGCTAGTCCATCCACCCGGATGCGCGTCTCCCACACCGTGTTGGCCATATTGGGGCGGCGAGCCATATCCAAGATCGCCGAGATGGCCTGGCGGCGGCGTAGCATATCCAGGCCGGGCCGGTGCGAAGCCCGGCGACGCAAGTCCTCCATCACCATACCTCGCCCCAGCTCCACCGTATTGGCTCATGTGTGGATCCACATTGTTCGTCGCATTATGGCGTTTGATTGTGTTCTTCAGCGAGTTGGACCGTCCAACAAAGAAGAATAGAGCTGCGCACAAGGCCACGAAAGCAACACCACCTACCGCTATGCCCGCAATGGCCCCGGTCGACAGTTTGTGGCTGCCACTGTTTCCATTGCTAGCTGGTGTAGACGTTGCCGACGACGTGGCCTCGGCAGGGATTGGCTCACCAGGCGCTATTTGGAAGTCTGCTGCAGCCGCAGCCTGTACCTGTGATGCCAATGTCTGTGTCGAATTGGGGTTGATAACGCCGACCATATGCTCTCCAATACAGCTTTTTGGTGCCGCACAGTAATAGAATATGGGTTCTGTTGAGTTGATGGTGATGTTGAAGTATGTAATCTACCAAAGTGTTAGCCCTTCTTGAACGACTTCGCATATCTCAAAGAGACAAACCTGGCTTGTGTCGTTGACCCATTGCGTTTCAGACCAGAAGCCTACTTTGCCCTTTCCCGTCTCCTCATAGGGTACACATGCTGAACCAAACTCTGCTCTTGCAACTGAGTGATCAGGCGGGTAGAATTCCCAGCTTACAATATCTCCGACTGATACATTGTGAATTTCTTGCGGCGTGAACTTGAAGCCTCCCGCACCGGCTTTGATCAGGTGCACCGTTGGTTCTCTTGACGGTGTTGATTGTGATGGTGCATTTGATGCAGTCGGTGTTGGTTGTGGTAGTACTGACGATATGCCCCCTACTATAGACGTGAGTGTACTCAGGTATTGTGCTACAGCTGGAGAAACGAGCAGTTGACTAGCAACAACTGCCAGCCTTGCGGTGGATATGAGCCTCATTTTGAGGGATTATATATTAGCCCGACGGATACAAGTATCAAAGTACCTCAGGGGTTCCGTTTCTAGTTGTAGGCCTGATTTCAAAAGACCAATCGCACTCGACTCGCGCTCCTGGCCGTTAGTAGTAAAGCAATATATTTTTCAGAAGAGTAACAAGGTCAAAAAACGAGGTACGAGGGGGGTGGGGGAACAATGGGAAAGTAGCCTATACGGCTGAGCTCAACCTTAAGGCACGATCCTACACATCTAGCCCTAGATCCATCACACCAACATCAGCCTTCCAGCCACATTATGGGTACTAGTCAAGGCAATAGGTCAGCGCTTTAGGGCCACCACCCTAAGCACTCTTTGTTGTCCACATGTCGCCAATCATGACCTCCCTTGGTGGTAATCTTGCAGGATTTCCCTTGCCCAGAGCTGTTCGAGGCGCCTTTGAGGCGTGCAGTAACGGCAGGACATGCTGGCCGGCAACAGCGGGGCTCTCCGTCAGCTGTCAGCAACACACAGGAAGGATGCTTGAAGTGGAGGGTGAACATGTGTAAATGTGGGGAGTTGGTGAGGCTAGGCTAAGAGCTATTTCCGGATCCCCTCCCCACCCATTACTACGAGCTGTGCAGATATTTTGAGAACCTCATTTCTTATTCCTTATTCTACTTTCTAGGGATCCCGAGCATGTGGCACGACAATGCCCTCGAACAGGGTTTGCCCACAGCCCGCACTTGTCTCTCTGCAAGCCAGAATGGGGGAGAAGGCCTGGACGGGTTGTGGCTGTCCTGCCGCCCGAGTAGGCTGTCCCTACTTTCGCGTGAGTTGGGTTAGTGGAGCGAGCTGAGTTGTCGTCAAGGAATGAGCGTTAAGGATTTTGAGCCGCCAACACTGAGTAAGCCTAGTCCAACTTTAATCCGCGCCAAGGAAGGTGGATCTATCGCCTTGGCGCATCGGGCGGGCTGAGCCCAGCATCGTACTCTAGGATAGCGCTGCGACGCGTGTGTATTTATGTGTACGCCGTGAGGACCGAGACAGTGGTTGAAAGAGTACGCGAAAGCGGGGAGAGCAGGTGTAGGGGTGTGACAGGTCATGCTTAATGATCAGCAAGCGAAACCCACGCCACAGGGTCTAAACAAGAGTTTGTACCAAGATTGTCCATCTTGTCAACCAACATGTGAGGCTCGGCAGTTGAATGAGGCGGTGAAGTGCATGCTGGCGCCTTGCTCATAAGGTCCAACTATCAGCTGAATGCTTGCTTTCTACAGGCTAGTATAGTGCAATATGTTTACTCAAGAATGAAATATCGAGCTCAGTTCCATGATACAAATGATACAAATGAATTGGTGTTGGGTATGCCAGACGTACGACAGCATCCCATGAGAGAAATCAAACGCCATGCCATGCAGAGAACAAAGACAAATCCCGAGCAGCGCCATCCGCCGATCAAGCACCGCCTGCTTACGAAGACGGTCTTTTCATAGGACTTCTGGTCCCTGAAGTCTTGGGACTTACGGCGAACAGACCAACCGCTGGCATCTTAGGGCTTTTCAGTGCATTGGCCGCGTTTTCTTGTCTGCCGCCGGGCTCGAATCTCTTCGAATCGTAAGGCGCCCTTGGCAGGGGTGAGCTCTGCAGTCCCATAGATGTGGTCTGCGGTCCCTCGTCAGTACGACTTGATATATCATTCATCTCTTCGAACTCGCTCTTCTTCTCCAAAAGCAGTTCCTGCACTTCCTCCAAATGCTGCTCCAACATATCATCTAGTGTATCCTGAGATGACTTTATCAGATTTCCGAGCTTCTTGCGCATCTTACGTTGGCGGCTCGGGTCCCAAACGAAGTGGCTATTCTTTACAAATATCATTGAATGCTGCAATTGTCAGACAGGACACAGCCTCGAGGTTGAGTGTTGCTCACCGAGTGGTACCAACTAGAGATGGTATCGTCCGTCGCTCGCTTTATCGACTGAATCGTGGTTTCAGCCACAAAACCGATAAGACATTCGACCGGACTATCGGGATCGGTGCAGTTTTCTACAGACTCAGCGGCTGAAATCTTAACACCATGAAGTAAAGCTTACCGTTGTGGCTAAGTAAATCTACAAGTCCTAGATAGGCATCACCGACGCCCATTAGGAAGACTTGTGTTGCTTCATTAGGCCTAGACTTACGTTAGCAGATACCCAAAACAGTCATGTGGCTGATTTACTCGATATAGTTCTCCCATAGATAGCTCGCGAGCTCACGCGTTTGTTGTGCACGAATCACTGAGTTGTCTGATTTTGTGAAACCAATGTTCGGCTAGCTTACGTTAGCAGGCTTTGATACTTGAAGATTTTCGGCAACTCACATCCTCAACCGCTACTACTCTGGGAATATTCACGTCAATGACCTGGAAGTCATTTTTGATGGCCCAATCAATGTACCTCTTGGTAACATCAGTCTTCAGTCCAAAGTCAGCCATTACACAGTACAAGACTGTCGTCGTACTTACGAGCCATGTGTTGTGTAGCTCTCTCTTGCCAGACATGGGATCAGAGTGATCTTGGAGACTCGGCGGGTCATGGAATATCACAAGTAGGGGATATTGCTCCATGAACTTTGGTCTATCATAGGTAAGCATAAACATTTATGAAGATCGTACAGCACTTACGTAGCGATGATGTTGTGCTCAAACGTCTGTGCCAAGCCTGCTTTGTTGATCTGAAGTGGAGGAAGGGGAACCATCGAGTGCTCTGCAGCTAGACGTTGACTCTGCCATTCTCGGATGATTTCGTGAAACCGGTACGCATCCTGGTATCCAGGGTCTGTTTTATCCAGGTGTTTCGGATAAAGTGACTTCCAATACTTTGAATGCTGACGTTTGACGTTCTCTACAATGTATACAGCGCTGTCCTTTGGCGCTGGAAGGTCATCACGCAAACGATCCGGAGGCTCTAGCATGAGCACTTTGGTTACCGCTAGCGCAGAGCGTGCAATCGACCGCAGATTATAACCACCTTCGAGACATACAACCAGCTTTCCCTTGGCTAGGCTCATGAGCATATGGGTCATGTGACCATAGCATGCAGGCGTAACAAAACACCCACCCAATAAGTCGCCTTCGGCTGCATCAAACCCAGCCGAAATGATGACAAGATCGGGGTTAAATTCCGTAGCGATCGGCATAACGACTTGCTGGAAAGCGTAAAGGTATTCTGAATCGCCCATCCCATGTTCTGCCCATGGAATGTTCACATTCTTTCCTTCGCCACGGCCTTCACCGCAATAGTCAAGATTGCCGTCAGGTAGATTGGGATAAAAGGTTCCGTCCTTGAAAACATGTAGCGATATGTAAAGGACGTTGGGGTCATCGTAGAACGCATGCTGAATGCCGTTACCGTGGTGCACATCCCAGTCCAAAATCAAGACTTTGCGGCAAGTTTCTGGATAAGCATTCTGACACACGCGGGTAGCAATTGGAACGTTGTTGAAGATGCAGAATCCTGACGGTTGATCGCTTTCCGCATGGTGTCCAGGAGGGCGGATGATAGCAATGGCGTTGCGCACAGCTCCCTGTACTACCGCTTTACAAGCTTCAATAGCACCACCAGCTGCGAGCTTCGCGCATTCATAAGTCGAATTGTTGAGATAGATTGAATCAAGCCGCTCAGCTTCAAACTTCAACTCATCGGAGGTCATATCTTGCCAAACAGTTAATTATAGTTCAACCAGACCGAGGATAGTCATAACTTACTTTGGAAGGACTTCACAAGATCGTAATGTTCTTCAGTATGAATGAGCAGTATCTCAGGTCTTGTGGCAAATCGGGCCGCAATCCTCCAACAGTGATCTTCTTTGTCTTCTTCCGAAGTGCTGGAAGCCACTAGTCCAGCTTGCTTGAGCTCCTCAAAAATCGAATGGATACGCCGAGGGTCTTCAGGATGGATGTCGTCTGGATTGATGTTCATATCTGGGAGTTCGGCATGAAACCGCATGCGAGGGTCATAAACGAGTCCCGTTTTTGATGTTGGGTAAACAAGTGTAGAGCGTGGCTTAGGAGGTACGCGGACTTGTGGGCTGGAATGTTGAGCTGGAGTCAGTCTTGATGCATTCATCTTATCTGGCCAGCTACTAGGCGATTTGGTCATTCGGTGGGACCCGGGATTACTTCGATGTACATTCGGCTGCAACATTGGACCTTTGGATGGACTGTGGAAGGGTAGTTGCTCTTGTTTGGACAGCAGCGGGCCCTTGCTATTGCCAAAGATTTTAGAAGGAATGATCGTTTCAGGTGCATGGTCACCGTTAGGCTCTGTGGAGATAATTATTGAGTCTTCCCCCATCGGGAAGTCTTCGTCATCCATGACTTGATTTGATGGATGGCGGAGCGGGCTAGTAAGCCTCGCTTCACACTTGCGGGCCGGCGGCTAGGTAGATGCGTTAGTATAGAAATTATACTAAACAAATGACTGCATGAGCTGATAGAGGTTGTGGGATGGTTTGAACAAGAATTTTCGAAGAAATAATGAGAGTCTCGGTCCTTTTTAATATCGTATTTAGACAAGGAAACTGAGACATTTTCCAGGAGACTCAAGACAGTAGCTCGAGAAGTGAGTCAAGACGTATAGCGCTAGTCCTGTCTCTCTGGAACCAGTAGTTGGAAGAAGTGGGATGAAGTAAAAGAGATGCTCTGATGCTCAAGAAACGAATACTCACTAGAAGATCTTGCTACCGCATCGAGCTAGAGGCTGCAGCCCACTGTACGGTAAAGTTGCTAAAAGTGTTGGTTTCGTAGCAGTTATCGCTTTTGATAGGTGGCGTCTGCAAAACTGTTAGTAAAGTTGATTTGCCGCTGCAGCTCTTGATGGCTGATAATCGTATCGCGTTCAAAGTCGAGCGAGACTCGGGAGCTTCGTATACCAATTTCTGTCTCCGAATAAAACGTTAATATAGCTGCAACTATCGCAAGTAATACACCAGTTGACTGCAGCTTTCTAGAGCCAGGATTGGGTGATGTCGTTTTTGATAGTAGGGGATAAAGTGGAGCGCTGCATGGCAGGTTCCATAGATGGCCAAGGTTTGTTGCGTGACTAAGCGACGCCAAGTTATTTAGCGCCATACGCAAAATGCCCTTCCATTCTGAAGTACAATACTACTACGTTATTCTATAGACTTGAGCTTGTACATCTTTTGAGCTAGTACTGCAAGTGCTATTCATTCATAGAATCACGTGTCTTATGCCTATGTCGTCAACGTAAGGCTACTAGATTCGACCTTCATGAAGGAGCGTTTTAGGTATGCAGTGTTGCTTTTTTGGGTAAGGATTGTGGAATTAGTCCTTATTCGTCACGGTTTTGAGTTGCGGCTTTGTTGCTCTAGTTTCCCCTTGAGAGTAGCGATACCACTTGATATGTCCATTCTATTAGGCAACGGACACGTGTCGCGTTCGCTCCCTAGAGATTATACAAGCTAGAGCTAGTTGTATCGTGCTGTCTTTCTAGCACATCTAATTCAGATTGAAATCACTTGAAATAAACAGTCATTTTCCTTCTCTCAGCCTCTAGACATGAGCATATTTGGAAGTAGTACCTGGGTTTGCGGGACTTTGCATAACAACAGCATACCTTTGCAGGACAAAAGAAAAGGCAATTGCGTCAGCTTAGATTTGAGGAAGGATACAGGTACAAATACAGGAACTGGTTAGCAGCTGTCGAGTGTTGGTTTTAGAGCAGAGCCGGCAGTACCCAGGCTCTCGCCATAGCCGCGTTGGCCACCCGACTTCCCCCGCTGCTTTCTCGCCAGATTCCGGAACCCGGTCCAGAACGCATTCCCGAGGCTGAGGATGTGAAAATGGAATACGGAAAAGAGGATCCGCAAATACATCGTCCGCATGAGGTGAGACGAACTTCTCCGCGTGGTAGCTATACCTCGGGAACTAGCTTGTGAGGGAACGCTAGAAAACGCAGTGCCAGGGGCGGCTCCACTATCTTGCAGCTGGCCGAGGGGGATATTCAACGTCACCTTGTGTGCATGTGTGTTTGTAGACGATTGTTGCGGTAATTATTATTCATTGATTTCATGTTTAGCATAACACATTCTCCGCTAAGCCCTTATTTTCATCCCCGCGTAATCCGCGCCTAGCCAGAAGTTCCGAGGATTTGTCGGATCCTTGATGTAATGAAGATTTGTTTCAAAGTTTGGGCGTCGCCCTGCTCTGTCCTGACTCCTAAGCGTTGCCATCAATCTTGGCAATGTAGACCAGGAGGTCGAGGACACGGCGGGAGTAACCCCACTCGTTGTCGTACCAGGAGACGAGCTTGACGAAGTTCTTGTTAAGGGAGATACCGGCCTTGGCGTCGAAGATGGAAGAGCGGTTGTCGCCGTTCAAGTCAGTGGAAACAATGTCGTCCTCGGTGTAGCCAAGGATACCTGTATTGCATTAGCTTGTATACACGAGTTGTTCATGGGAAAAGACTTACCGTTGAGCGAGCCCTCAGAGGCCTCCTTGACGGCCTGCTTGATCTCGTCGTAGGAAGCACCCTTCTCGATGCGGACAGTCAAGTCGACAACCGAGACGTTGGCGGTAGGGACACGCATGGCCATACCAGTGAGCTTACCGTTGAGCTCGGGGATGACCTTGCCGACAGCCTTGGCGGCACCAGTGCTGCTGGGAATGATGTTCTGGGCAGCAGTACGTCCACCACGCCAGTCCTTTGCGGAGGGGCCGTCAACGACCTTCTGGGTGGCAGTGTAGGAGTGGATGGTGGTCATGAGACCCTCAATGATGGTGTACTTGTCGTGAATGACTTTGGCGAGAGGAGCCAAGCAGTTGGTTGTGCAAGAGGCGTTGGAGAGCACCTCAATGTCGGGCTTGTAGGTCTCGTGATTGACACCCATGACGAACATGGGGGCGTCAGCGGAAGGAGCAGAGATGACAACCTTCTTGGCTCCGCCCTTCAAGTGGGCCTTGGCCTTCTCGGTGGTGGTGAAGACACCGGTGGACTCGACGACGTAGTAAGCGCCAGTCTCGCTCCATGGAATGTTGGCGGGGTCCTTCTCCATGTGGAAACGGATGGTCTTGCCGTTGACGGTCAGGTTGTTGCCGTCAACCTTGATGTCACCCTTGAACTGGCCGTGTGTGCTGTCATACTTGAGCATGTATGCCTGTGTATACGTCAGTCTGCATGTTCTCATCAAAAGAATGGTACCAGTACGTCAGGCCGAAGCGAATGCTTGCTCTGATGAAAGGTTCCAGGTTGAGAGAGTGCTTACAGCGTAGTGGGGCTCGATGAAAGGGTCGTTTACGGCGACAATGTCGACGTCGTTGTGCTCGATGCTGAGAGACGGGGTCAGCTTTGATATGCGTGAAATGGATCAATCCCAAGGGTACTTACGCATTGCGGAAGACGATACGGCCAATGCGACCGAAGCCGTTGATACCAACCTATGAAGATGTGTCAATGGCACGCGTCTGGGCCGGGCGGGGTACACAAGGGAGCATACCTTGACGACCATGTTGAACTGAGAGTGATGCTGTGTGAGAGTTAATAGACTTGAATTGAGGAAGGGAAATGGGGCTGGGCTCACTGCTTTATATATGAGACGAGGTGATGAGCAGGTGGTAAGAGGCAGATTTTTGTGGTCGGTGCTGTGTTTTGTTGGGTTTGAGCTAGGTGGGGTGAGGGAGGGGCAAGCTAAATAGCTACCAGCCCTGAGGACGTCACAGAGTTTTAGTAGTTCTTTTTCTGCAATCGGACATGCAGCGCACGCCTAGACCCAATTACACGCTTTGCGCCCTCCCACACACACCCGGCCGGGTTGGATCATTGTCAGATACGGCAGAGGAATCGAAACCTCGGCCAAGGGTAGTCACGATTCGAGGCCGCGGAGTGCACCGGAGGGCGTGAAGGTCAGGCTGAGTACCTTTTGGTCAAGTGGTACACTAGCCAATGCTACATCAACCACCTCGCGACATGCTCGTGGCTCAACGCCAAGTACCTTGATGCCGTCGTGAAACTTACAGCCTCATGCATATGCCGCAGAGCAATATACCGGCCTGTGGCTAGACGCCGGTGAAGAAGACACGCCACGCCGCGCTGCGCAATCATTGAAGCGAAACGCTTACGAAAGAAGTGTACGTGGATCTTGTAATCAGAGCGAGTGGTCAAGAGCACGTTTACGCGGCACAGCTGGCCGCCGCCGCCGTCATGGGCAAAAGCTTTTGTTGGTCATTCGATAAGGCAAAACCAAGAGTGCACCACGGCCACAACGGATCACCGGTTCGTGGGGAGGCGAGGCGAACATTATGTGTGACCACCGACACTCTCCCCACCAGCCAAAGCCGACCTTGGGTTAGGATGAGGCGTGGCGTATCCGCGGCCGGGACGGGGTTCGACACGCATATCGCATTATGTTTTAGGGGTCCTGAAGCCCGCCACGCTGCCGCCGTCCGGTGTTATGGTGATTCGCTGCAAATCGAAGTTGCTGCATTCATGAGCTGGGGTGCGAAAGCATATTGGCGCTGGAGTGGGAGCTTTGCTTGAAGCTGGAGCTTTAAGCTTGAGCTCGGAGCTTTTGTGTCATACTACTAGTAGCGCTTGTCCTGCCTCTGCTCCGATCACGGGATTGGTATCTGGTTGTGCACCTCTATACGACTCTGTCATCGGTAGGGTTTTTGGAATAGAAAGGCTAGGTGACTTGGGTATATCTTTGAGTACAACCATGACCGTTCAGTAACACTTTGAAGGTGGTGGATCAAATCAATGCGACTCGACTACTCCTATCACTGGCATCATATAGGATCTGCGACGCTTGCACACGGGCAGGAATGTTGACTGCAATGCTTTCCAGCAAAAGGTAAAAGCTTATCGACAGACTCTAGCCTGTACTTGTAATGCTCTGTGCTGTGGTTCTGGAGGAAGCACAGGCTGCTCTACTATATTGTATCTCGTCTTACTACCCCGCCATTGAGCGAATTTGCGAGCGTTTCGTACACACGTTATATGCTCACTGAGGTACCCAACAATAAGGTTAACGGAAAGAGACTATGTGAGATCCAAGCAAGTCTAATACATAAATCGCTTTGCCCCTACGTAGCTTGGACAAGTGAATCTTTGTCTCATGCCTTATCGCCCTAGAAAGCAAAGATGCAGCATGTCTCGCTTGATCCATTGTCAAATCGAGAACCGCTCGGCAATCGCGGCAAGGGCTCGCAACGCAAATCCTTGAAAACTCGTAGTTTCTATCGTCTCGTACCCATGTGCAATTGAGCCTCATTGCGATGCGCAAAAGCCGTTGCAATGGTATATGGTGAAGCTGGGGGCAAGTCGCTCGGAAAGCTAACGCTGAAACCCTCATTGGTCAATGAGGCGCTCGGGCCACAGCGAAATGATCGTTCCACCACCTTGGCGTTCCTCTCGCAAACCGCATTTTGCAAGACAGCTCTCCTGGCCCACCTTCGACTCCATCACCACCACGATCCATTGGCACCTCTAGGTCCCTCGACGGGAATCTCCCTCCCTTCTTTTGCATCTTCCGACACTCTCCACTCCACCCGCCGCCATGTTTCGCTCGTCCATCGCCCGCGCTTCGAGGAGCTCGACCATCGTCATTCCATCCGCCGCGACACGCACAGCTCTCCCCAGAGCTGCCCCAGTAGCTTGCCAGCTTCAGCAGTCCCGCCAGGCACACGCCATCTCCAACCCGACGCTCGCCAACATTGAGAAGCGATGGGAAGATATGCCCCCTCAGGAGCAGGCCGATTTGTGGATGACGCTTAGGGACCGCATGAAGACTGACTGGAAGGAGTTGACCATGCAAGAAAAGAAGGCTGGTACGTACATTGCCATTTCGCGTAACTGCATGTTGCATGGCCTTGTATGACGTATCTCGTGTTTTGCTCGAGATAGCCGAACTTGGCCCGCGGCATCGGGTGTGCCCAACCTCAAGTCATCCCAAACCATTGGAAAGCATCACAAAGGCATTGTTCTGACCATGTTCTCTTTTTACAGCCTACTACATTGCTTTTGGCCCCCACGGTCCCCGCCGACCCCCGCCTCCGGATGAGGGCCGCAACGTCTTCCTCCTCTCCTCCGCAGTCATTGCCGGTGCCATTGCCATCTTTGCCGTGACCCGCATGTTTGCCAACCCTGTCCGACCCCGTACCATGACCAAGGAATGGCAAGAGGCTTCTGAGGAGTACTTGAAGGTACGTAACTTTGCTATTTGAGAGCCTCAATTCGTCTGTGACGATACTGACATTTTTTACAGGCTCAAGGAAGTGAGCCCATTACTGGCTACAAGGGAATGCTGATCCAGAGCAAGTCTGAGAAGGACGTGCCAACTAACCAGAAGATCAACGATGAGTAAATAACCTGATTAGGTGCTTCACAGCAATCATACCAATACCGATACTACATTTTCCTTTGGTCAAATTCCCGCTTGGTACTGTCTGTGTCACACATCACAAGATCGAAAGCCATCCGAGCGGCAGTCGCTATCATAATAGTCCTCCCTGTATCCAATCTAGAGGCTTTCAAATTTTATATGATGATTTCCACTTTGTTTCTACATGCAGAATTGGTGTTGTGAGCAACAGATTAGCCGAATAAACAGTGACATGATTAATCGAACTTGGGGAAATTGCCTCTACATTTGAGTGAGATTGCTCGGGCAAGTTAGGATAACTACTCTCCTCGTCTTTTGTAACTACGGTAGTAACTACCGTGTCACGCCAGAAACATTTCTTATGCATGAAAACAGCCCCTTGAAATGAAAGCTCAGTTGATACTGGTGGTACACAATGAATACATCATCACTATCATATACAGTGCACTGCGACGAGAAAAGCACTTGAACCATCATGCACTACCCTATGTACAAAAGCAGCTCCGATATACACAGTAAGCTAATAAGCCAGCGATTCAAGCCAGTAACCACATCTACTTGCTTGCACGATTACGAATTGTTAGTTCACTGTACTGCTGCCTTTGTCGCAACCGTATTTTGGTTGTTGTACCTAATAGAGCTGTGCCTAATTCTCATATACGCATCGAGATGTGTACACATTCTTACTGGACAATTTTTAGGGTTCGAGCGAGGGTCTCGCTAACATTCATCCGAATCCGTTTACCCTAACTGCGAAGTTAATTTTTTGATACCTGATTCCGGCAGGTTGGGGTATAGCCTGTCATTATTTCCTGAGATGATTGATCTGATACATGACATAACAAACAGGGACAAAAAAAAGTCAACTCATAATTTTTAGAGCCAAAATCACAACACGATTGCACTAGGTGAAAGCCGTATTCAAATAACATACATGCATTCCACTTACACTTCACTCGGCATTGTGAAATAAGCCATGTAGAGCGAGGACTAAAGAAAGAACGGAGCGGGCGTATGGCGCAACAGAATCGACGCTGCTGGCCGTTGTGATGGCTGCTGCTGCTGCCACGGCAGCATCGAAGAACCACTGAGCTCTACTGTACAGAGACCACACGTCCCGAAGGACAGTTGAGCCAGCCAGGGCGGTGGGGACACTCGGGCAAGCAGGCGGGCTGCCTTCACGGGCACTCCGAGACATGGTGTCCGAATTGGAAGTAATTAGGATATGTTGGCATAAATACTGCAACAAGAATGAGTGCTTGAATTTCAACCTATGTCAGCTTCGAGCATGCCTGTTCGGGCGACGACGATCACGGCCATCACTACTAGCACTTCCATTCCAGAACATTGTTAGAGAAATACCCAAATGAACCGTGATCAAGGCGAGTGCAGGAGACAAGGGTCCTGGTTTAGCAGCATGTGTGCTGATCAGTTGAAAGCATCACTAGTGAAGTAAAGCTTGAAGATAGTTGGTGATCTATCACTGAGCTACAACGTCATGAACTTACGTTACTTCTCGAGCATACTATCAGCAGTGCTTCTGGACATATATTACTTGCAATTGGACTTTTTTGTACGTACTTAATAGTCCTTATTTGGTGACATTAGATTGCGGGGAGTTTATTACCATATCTTGAGTGATACACCAGACAAGATACTTCAAGTAAAGGAAAACAACACCAAACACAATACATATGATATTTTATCGTCTAATGAGAGAACTTGTGCTGATACTTCTTTTATTAGTGAGTTTTGCAGCCATGTAGGAATAAGTAGACGGCCATCTCGATGTGAACATAATTTCGGAGAAGGAGATTGTTACTTAACTCTCTCACTTTCCCATCTCATCCAAACTACAACACGCATTTCGGCCCCGTCCGTGGGAATAATCTCAACGGCCGCGCTTCGTATTCAATAACACGAAAAAACCTCAACCGCATGTCACGTGAAAAAAAGAAGCTGATTAATATTACTCTGAGTCGGTGGTGGCGACGATACTCAGCTCGGCCGCGGAAAATGGGTAAGATGAGATGATTTCGCGTTGTGTTACACACCACATAGTTTAGTAATCTCGTCTCTTACTTTTGATCAGGTTGGGAGGTCAAGTGTGTGGGGTTGGAGGCTAATGTGTCACAAGTGAAAGAGAGGGAGAGAGGGAGAGGTTCAGATGTTTTACTTTGTTGCTGCGGATACCAGGTGTTACGAACATTGTAGCATAAGAGATACGCCATGTGATTGCTTGTATTTGGAAACTCTCACCAGTGCTCTGTTAGACGGTATACTTATGGTCTCTCAATCCCATCCAGCTACTCAGTGTACACTTGGGCTTCCTATCGTGACATTCTCTTTACTTGACTTCACGCCTTTCGCACTACTTCTCTTCTGGAAATTCTATTGAAATCAAGTATCATGTCGTCTGCATTGTAGATGACACCTAATCTTTGAAGAGTCGACTAGCACGCACTGTCCATAGTCTTGGTTGCATTGCAGCCCTGTCTCAAGCGCACTTTACACGGTTGAGTTTGATGAATACTGCCAGATTTTAGTGTTGATTATGCCTCGGGATGCTGCAACAACTCACAGTTAAGAGAGACAATAGCCAAAAGAAAACCCCGCTAGGATGTAGTTCATCAGTGAAGGTAGACTATCTGCACTGGATCGAAACTCTAGTTTATACTACCCGCAAACTGGTCAGGTGGTCTTTAGATGGAATCATCATAGAATAGATTTACAATAGACTGCTCATATAAATCCAGCGACCTTGGCACCCCACTATGAAATTAATAGCATGCCGCTATGGTGATATACTACTACAAGATTGCTAGTATCCATCTTACTAGAATTTTAGTATATCAATAGTTATCTGGTTATTGTTACTATCATATTAGTTTATAGTGTTACTAGTGACTCTTAGATAAAAATCATCATCCAAGTCTAGAGGATGAGATGAGACCCTTCATACACGATAGATGATCATCCAATTCCATAAGTTTTCAGCCCATCTAGTTCATCTCTTCGATCCTAGCTCCTCATACATCCGACTGCCTACAAGACGGCATAGGTGAAGGTACTCGTATCCTTCATAGTAAAACTTGTGGCTCGACACCCCTACACCCGTTGAATAGTACATAATGAACACATCATCACTGACATATGCGTGCACTGCGACGAGATAACATTTAGAATGGCATGCACTATAAAAAGATTCACAAGACTATAGGAATCTAGGTATCTTAGTACCCCGCCACAAGATTGGCAGCATACCGCTATGCTAGCATACTGCTATACGATTTACTGGTAATTACGTTACTAGTATCCTATTATAGGACTAGTGATCTAGTCACTAGTTTTTTCGAATCTTTACTCATGTATCCAAGGTTTCGATTGCTCTGTCCTTACAACGTATACTTTTGCAATACTTCATCGCATTCTGCGCTAAAAAATCCACAATGTATAGTGCTCAAGGGGCCGGAGACATGAATGAGGCGATGCGCCCCATCAGAGCACCTAATAATGGCGACAAGAACAACAGAGAGTCGGAATTTGCCGATATTCTTAAAGCGTTGTCCTCGTCAATTGAGATTGAAATCAATCAGAGGTGAGATGATGTATGCAGGGCTGGGGTTAACCGGGTGGGCACTAGGCGACGCACAGACCCATTCCGTGCCTTCCTCTCGAGCTTTGAGAAGCTCTTTCCTCTAACAACCACCCTCTCTCCACTCATCACCACGTCCATCACACGTCTCACAATGCTGAAGAGGTAAGCCGAGGACCCATTGATACCAATTGACGATGAATTGAGATGGGCTGACGCCAATTCCGATAGTGGGATCCAGCAGGCGCTCCGCGCCTCCATGCGCAGGCCCGCCATCCGCCGCAGCGCATTCCAGCCCATGAAGAAGAGCTTCGCACCCGCCCTATCAACCCGCTTCGCCTCTACTGATGCAGTAAAGGAGGGCAAGATCCACAGCGTTGTTGGGGCAGTCGTGGACGGTACCCGATTCCACTTCCCGTCGCTGCGAAAAGTTTTTCCTGTATAGATGGAAGAGCTTCGTTGCGATCTGCATTGAGAACGAATCCGCTGACTACGAATTCCAGTCAAGTTCGATACGGAGCAGCTTCCTGCTATTCTCAATGCCATTACGACTCAGAACGGTGACCAGAAACTCGTCCTCGAAGTCGCTGTAAGGCGCCAAGCACCCGATGCCTAAAATAGGAAGGACTGACACAGCATAGCAACATTTGGGTGAGAACATTGTTCGATGCATTGCCATGGACGGTACCGAGGGTCTTGTTCGAGGTGCCAAGGCCGTCGACACTGGTAACCCCATCATGGTACCGGTCGGAAATGGCACCTTGGGCCGTATCATGAATGTCACTGGTGACCCCATTGACGAGCGCGGTCCCATCAAGACCGATACCTACGCTTCCATCCACGCCGACCCCCCAGAGTTCACTGAGCAATCCACCTCCGCCGAGGTCCTCGTCACTGGTATCAAGGTTGTCGACCTTTTGGCTCCCTACGCTCGTGGTGGAAAGATTGGTCTTTTCGGAGGTGCTGGTGTCGGCAAGACTGTGTTCATTCAGGAGCTGATTGTAAGAACATGCAATGCTTACGAATTCGACATTTGCTAACGAGGAGACAGAACAACATCGCCAAGGCCCACGGTGGTTTCTCCGTCTTCACTGGTGTTGGTGAGCGTACCCGTGAGGGTAACGATCTTTACCACGAAATGCAGGAGACCTCGGTCATTCAACTCGACGGTGAATCCAAGGTCGCCCTAGTTTTCGGTCAGATGAACGAGCCTCCAGGTGCTCGTGCCCGTGTCGCTCTGACTGGTAAGTGGCTTTTTCGATCGACATATCAATACATCAGAAACCACCCTGGCGGACACGACGTCATGTACTTTCATGTTTCCATTTTATTCTCATATGTCGTACTGGCAGCTGCACCTACGTTTTCCTTTCCCTCCCTCACTACTATGCGCTACAATGACAACTCAAGAAACATCTTTGCTAACACCTACAAGGTCTCGCCGTAGCAGAAAAGTTCCGAGAGGAGGGCCAGGACGTGCTCCTCTTCATCGATAACATCTTCCGGTAAAATTCAATTAAACTACCCTCTTTTCGCGGCATTTGGGCTTACAGATTATAGTTTCACTCAGGCCGGTTCCGAAGTGTCTGCTCTGCTTGGTCGTATTCCCTCTGCCGTCGGTTACCAGCCCACCCTCGCCATTGACATGGGTGTCATGCAGGAACGTATTACCACCACTTCCAAGGGATCCATTACCTCCGTCCAGGCTGTCTACGTCCCCGCTGACGATTTGACTGATCCTGCTCCCGCCACCACCTTCGCCCATTTGGACGCCACCACTGTCTTGTCCCGTGGTATTTCCGAGTTGGGTATCTACCCCGCTGTCGACCCTCTTGACTCCAAGTCCCGTATGTTGGACCCCCGTGTCATTGGTGACGAGCACTACCAGACCGCCACCCGCGTCCAGCAGATTCTCCAGGAGTACAAGTCGCTCCAGGATATCATTGCCATTCTCGGTATGGACGAGCTGTCGGAAGCTGACAAGCTTACCGTCGAGCGTGCCCGTAAGATCCAGCGTTTCCTGAGCCAGCCTTTCGCTGTCGCCCAGGTCTTCACTGGTATTGAGGGCAAGCTTGTCGACCTCAAGGAGACCATCAACTCATTCAAGGCTATCCTGTCTGGTGAGGGTGATGACCTTCCCGAGGGTACGTTATTCCACCATCTACAACCATGAATTCAAGCTGAGCTAACAATTACAGGTGCTTTCTACATGGTTGGTGACTTCGCTTCCGCTCGCGCCAAGGGAGAGAAGATTCTCGCTGATCTCGAGAAGTCATAGACGGACTTTTGTGGTGGGTGAAGAGTCGGCCATTGTGTCTAGGGCAGTTCGCTGGTAGTCTCACTTTGTACAAAAGATATACATCCGAAAATTCGGGGTTATGAGCGAATGCTTTGACATGCGGCTTCCTGTAGTCTATCTTAGATGAAGAATCAGCATTTCTTGTTCAACCAATGACGTTTCCAGCCTACGCATTATCAACATTGCTTATGACTTTCCCATTCTTCATTACCATCGACCTCGATAAAGAAGAGGGCTGTCGCCAGTGGCAAGAAGCATATTAGTCACATGTCCTCGTCTAACAAACATGACGTGTCGAGGAAGTCTTGCAGAGCCTGCTTCAAGTGCATTGGTACACATATTGATGTATTATGATATGCATATCACAATCCACTCATGAAGTCCGGCAGAAGAGTGCGTGAGTTGACTACACCAAAGTTGTCTCACCAAACCCGGTAGCAAGGGCATCTAGCAGATCGTAACGACACCCGCATCACTGTTGATCTCGACGAAGAACAAGGCCGTCCCACCAAACCCAGCAGCAAAGGCAACAAGCGTGTCGTCCACATTCGCTCGACTCGTCACCATCAAATCCGCCGATATGATCCAAGGCCAATAGAGGCTTGACGGACGAGGGTTCGTTATTCCCAACAAGGAGCGTCCGATCAAGGCTTAAGGCATCTATGTCATCCAAGGGCGTGTAGTCCACCACCCACAACCGACGGGGGCTTGGGGCATCTGTGTCATTGACGTGTACCGCCGCATCAAGAAGTCTTATGATGTCCGTTTCGGCGGGGCTTCACAGGGGCTCCAGGCCAAGGATACCATGCCTGGACATGAAGATCAACGCCAATCAAGCTCGGTGGTGCTAAAGATTCTGACCAGTTGGGATGTGGCCTGCCGATCTTTTCTAAGAAAAATAATCTAATCAGCTTTATGCCAAACAGATAATCTGATTCGAGTCAAGTCATAGTAAATGCTTTAGCCGTAACAGCCTATTGTCTTCAACCGGTTCTATTTCAGCAGCTGTGAGTCGCGCTCTTCAATATTTTGAGCACGATGTGATGATCCTGCCATGCTATAAACAGCATGATAAATACCTACATGTTCCACCCCCACCTTACTCTATGTAGCAGTGATCATGGGAAGCCTTTATACATACACGCTGCATAGTGAATTCATTGCTTAACCAATGTGGCACAATACGTGATCAAGCTCAAGGGGTGACCCGCAACCGAGCTGGTGGAGCAAACCTGAAATCTAATCGTTGCCAAAGAATTGACTGAAGAAGGTATCTATATACTCCAAAAGGCAACATCAATACATATCCGCAGTCCGATCACATACTACACAACGGCCGCGACCTTAGATGCACTGCTCGTGCTGATGCTGAGCTCTACAGATACTCGGGTAGCAGCTGCCTCAGTTAGTGGCGCAGGTTGATCACTTGTAGAATCATTTGCTGTAGTTGTGTCCGCAGCAACCACAGAATGGAGGTGGTCCAAGAAGAGACTGGGACGATGTTGGCCAACTACCCAAATAGACCATAACAAGGGCGAACGTAGACTCACTGGATCATGAATGGCGTGATCAAGAAAGTTCAAGTTGTCAATGCAGTCGTTGGGCAGCGGGAGGACACCCCAAGGAGGGGTCTGTCAACTCCCAGCCCGTCTAAGACGGGCTACCCGAAGGGCGCTGCTCAACAGCTGTGGGTGGTGGACTACCACGTCCTTCAATGACGCAGATCCCCAACCCTTGATTGGACGCTCCTTATTTAGCATGAAGAACTTTCTTCTCTTAAGCCTACATCAGTCTTTTATTATATTGGCAGATTAATAGTGGCTTCCTTTAAGGCTAGATTGAAATAAACAACTGGGGAAGACAAGATATGAGCCTGAACCATGATGGTGCACGGGATCATCGTAGTGGAGTCGATTTGATGAGCTACTTTTAGCATGGTAGGGCAAACCACATCTACGTCCTTGGATGATTGTAAATTGAAAATCTCCAAAATTCCTCCAAAATTCCACCATCTGAAGATGAGAGAGAGCGGGCGCGAGACCGGACGCGTGGCGCAGCAGCGGCAGCGGCAGTAGCGGTTGGAGTGGGTGTGGGGGCCGCGGGGGCCACGGGGGTGTTGGTGGTGGTAGCAGCAACAGCAGCAGCAACCGCGGCATCGAAGAACAACTGGGCTTGACTATCGCATGCCCACGCACCCCGACGGGTGGCGGGGAGGTGGGCTTTCCCGAAAGTCACTGTTTTCACATAGGTACCGGTGATGACAGTGTGGGAACCCCCTTGGGAGGGGGCATCAACTTCTAGCTTGCCTTAGACGGGCTGCCCTGAGGGGCACTGTGACCGGACTTTAGACAGCTACTAACTGTTAGTATAACCACAACAACAACAACAACAACAACAACAACAACAATGAATACTTGACTTACAAACGGCATTCGCCTTTGGAAGGCCGCGTCCTCCACCGCGTCCTCCGCTTGCACTCTAGAACAACGTTAGCCAACTACCCAAATGCAGAATGATAAGTGAAAGATGATAGGAGAGAAAAGAAAGAAGATGAACATACGACACCGAAATTGAAGACGAGACCTATGACTATGTTAGCATAATATCCAAAGGGTAGTGTGGAGTAGCAAGGTGGGACGGGGAAGGAACTCACTTGGACTACCGTATTGTCCTGTTATTCATTAGCAAGTGCTCAAAGGGGAAGTGACATGAGCGATGTGAGCAACAGCAAACAGAGCAAAGGGAGGGGAGGTGAGGGCATGGGGCAATTGTAGCTTGGTGCGTGTTGCGACTTACCGCTCATGATGGTGGGTGGTAAACTGTGACTTGGAGCATGTAACCACTCATCGTGCCAGTTGGGCTTGAGGAAGAAAAGAGAAGAGAAGAGAAGAAAGACGCGGGCGGGGAAGGCCTTTTTATGCCTGGCAGTTGGCAGTCACCTTGGCGCGGTGACGTCGATATGCTGCCTGGCCTCCTGCCTCAAACACCACACCCCACCTTCTTAGTCGAGGCAGATCTGGAAATTCACTCCAGTTTTCATCCCTGTGTTCGTGTTGTTGTTATGTCCTCAAAGCGTACGTCTTTGCACTACTTCTTCACTTACGTTGTGAAGAAATCTATAATGTATGACCGTGCATATACAGGAAGGATTTCAAAACCCGCATGATTCAGCGATACATGACATTGACCGTGCATCTCTTCACGTCAACAAGTAAAATATATGCCTATTTTTTCAAGAATAGTTCGGTGCCAGAACTAGTTTCTTTTCAACTTTCTAAGCTATTAGTTGTACGTGCACACTATGCAGTATATATACTATACCTTTTTAGGCCGCTTAGAGCAATGAAGATAGAGAAAGGGGTTCGCATCACGCAGCAAGGACATGCTGCCACGATCTGGGAAGACATCCACCAGCTGACCAAAGGTTTGAACATGGAATTTGCATCTGTAAATTTTCCAGGAAGTCTTCAGATTAACGACAAGATCCATCCCCAATTGACAGAAATCACAAAACAGAAGGAGGTTTTAACGTGTATAGAAGATATGTACGATAAGTGTCACGATAAGGTGGGGGCGCGCGAGTGCTATGGATTGATCGGATTGTTATCATCTAAAACTATCGGGGAGTAACTCCCGTCCGGCTATATACATAGTCATGTTATATAATTATCATGTGACAATAAGTGTATTACAAACACTGGGACGGAACTCGACAACAAGCCCGCCAACCCAAAGCTGATTTCAGAACAGTCCAGCGCAACTAACACTCACTCTAGTACAGCGAAAGGCGATATTACTTCAGCTGGCCCGGTACAGCCAGTAATGCCTCAGTCTAACGACCCGAAGAAAGTCAAAAAGTGGGAGAACTTCCTCGAGAAGGGTGACGTATGGTATATCTTAGACTATTCTGGCACGCCAGTCCAGGAAAACCAAAAGGTCTGGAAATGCAACACCAATCACCTAGTTGAAGGTGGTACCGGGTTCGATGCATATCTACATCATGCATTCAAGACATGTCCACTATGTGAGACTTCCCAGAACACGAAAGCAAAAGAATAAGCTACTACTATAGACTTTGCCTTCACGACAAAGATTGTTGTTCTTCAATTGAATGATGACGTCCGTCGAACTGGCAGATACCTCACCTGGGAGGGACCGACCAAATACACAAAGGTCAAAGACAATGCCAGGAACAAGATTACCGTTTATACAGGAGATGTTATCCGTGACGATCTAGCCGAAATCCCCAAGAGTATGGTCTTAGGAAAGTATCCTAAAGATCTCGAGGGGATCGCAGCTAGAGAGAAGACTAGTTTCCCAGTTCAACCCTATACGCAAAAGGACGGAGAACAAAAAAGCTCCACACCCAGTAAACGCCGCAACAAGTTTGCCATTGAGGATGCTGGACAGACGAAGAAGTTCAAGGCAGAAAAAGAAGAAAGAGACTCTAATGCCCCGGTGAACATGGAGGAAGATCCAGGACAGCATGAGGAGAACGAGGAGGAGCCGGAATACTGCTGAGACAAACCGAGTGAAGTTGATTAGTTAGAAAGAAAGAACAAAGGATTGTAAATTAGTAATTATAAATAAATGCGAAAATACTACGTAATATGAGTAACAAGACACATCTAAAGATCCTTTTAATATCTATACGGTTAGCTTATGAGATTAGTTATCGTAGCGAATTATAAAGAAATAAAGAAATCGTCTTCAGTACTTAAATTCTCCTATATCTAGATATCGAAAAGAAATTCATTAATACTACTAAAGAGTTTTTTTTTTAGAAATTAGATATTTGTATAACTAGTTGTAGAGAGGGAAAAGCAAACTCTCGATCGTACAAATTCCTAAGCTTTGTAGTAAAATAATATTTCTGAAGAAAGGTCACTACGCGACCCCACTATAGCACCATACACGCGCTAGTCTCACTCTTAATAAACTAAAGACAACTTTCTAAGATGGCACCGTATAGCCTTGAATTCTACACTTGGTTTACAAAGACAACTTACTAAAATAGCACTATATAACCTCCAGTCCCACACTTAACAAACGAAGAAAATTTTGATTCTGTATCCGTGACTCTTGCCCGTAACCATTATAATACTAAGTTGTAACAAGAACTAAAATAGACCACCCCAACGCCACGCTATGCATTAAAGAATAATCACTGGTATCAGCCATCTTTGGAAGAAAGAAAGCTACATCTAATAGGCTTTGACTTTCTTGCCCTCTCCATTCGTTCCAAGATCGGCCTTCCTTTTTCCAAGCACTGAGTCTGGCGTGCCAGGCATCTCAATACCAATTCCCTTGCTGTACTCTTCAAAACATGTAGCATGATACACTTTCCCGCCCACACTCAGGGCGTCCATCCATACGAAATCATTCGCTTCCACGTTCCACTGTGTCTCAAACTTTTCTTGACAGATCGGGCAAGGTGCTTGCTGAAGTGTCACATCCTGCGGAACGCTGACATACCGGTCCTTGGTCTGCTTCTTTGGCTTGGCCGCGTTGTTGCCAGAAGAGGGGTGGTTGGACTGGTTGGGGGCGGTTTCGTCAAGTTCGCGATATTCAATCCATTCCTTCTCAGGAATGTACCAGCTGCGATGTACACCTCGTTTGGCCGCATCTGGGTCCTTGACCTTGAAGTGCCAGTCCATGTGACGAGCTTTCTTCTCTTTTCCCTCAGCCGTATTTTCGAACCGGCGACCACAAGTGGCGCAGATGTTGGGCTTGGTTTCGTACAGATGGGAGATAAGGTGAAGACGGGGTTTCTTCATCGATGCGGTAGTGAGCTCGATTTGGTCCAGCAAACCAACCGGCGCTACTGATTGTTCAGTTCCTTGCTGAAGTGGATTAGGTACTCCATTCACAGGCGTGGGACCTGATACACTGCTCAGGGCTTTGAGAAGCCACTCAGCACTGCCAAGGGCTGGTGGGGGGGCCGCAGGTTGCAATGGAAGTTGAGGCACAGGAGTGCTTTGAACAGGCGTAGGCTGGACTGAGGGTGGCGCAGCAGCAGGTTTGCTGAATTGTGCAAGCAACGCAGCCAAGTTGGTGGTTGGTGTGGCAGACTGTGCTGGAGGGGCGGATTGGGGCGCGGGTACTGGGGTAGAAATAGGCGGTGGGAATGCTTGGAACGGCGGCTGGAATGGAGCTGGAGCTGGTACAGAACTCGATTGTGCAGGCGATGATACACGCTTCAACAATTCCGCTAGGTTCAGAACTGGTGGGGTCGGGGTCGGGGCAGGTTGTGGTGTCGACTGTGGTATAAAGCCCGCAAGAAGTTGTGCTACATTTGGTGGAACATTGACTGGCGAAGCAGTCACGGCGGGAAACTGAGCAGGGTAACCGGGTGCCGCTGTCTGCTGCGGAGGATATACTGGTGTAGACGGTGCAAACGAGGGCGTTGGAGCGGGCGGAGGTGCTAGGGCTCGAATCTGTTGACGTACAGCTTCCAGTTGTTGTGGCGGTAGAGTCTGTGTGTCCAAAATCTGCTTGAGAGATAAGAGTGCCGAAAGCTTCGTACGCAGGGCTGCATCAGCTGGGTTTTGAGCAAATGTGTTCTGTGTAGTGCTAATTAGCTGAGTGACTTCCGCCTTTAGTCCAGCCAAATCAATGGACGACATGGGCGAAGGAGGCTGCTGAGACTGCGCGTAGGCCACCGGGGGTGTAGGGGCATGTGCTGTAGGTCCATATTGAGGGGTCGATGGGTATGACTGCATTTGCGCTATTAGCATTTGGTAGTATGATCCCAGGGACGAAGACTTACCGGTCGAGCACGCGGGTCATTGGGGGCAGCATAACGGGGACCATTCTGCGGCGGCGTAGATGTACCTCTCCAAGCCACGTTGAGCGATGGAGGACGAGGCGGAAGCGCATGTTGCGGTCGGACCTGCTGTTGAGCTGCATGAAACTTAGCCAGTGCGTTCTCGATATCTTGCGTCACGTCGGCTGAGAACACTGGGCGTGGATCCATAGACTCGGGCACAGGCATCTTCCACGTCTTGAGCAGGCCTTCCATATTCTTGCGGGTGGCCTGGTCCATGACCAGATAAGCATCCATGAATGTTCGGTACAGGTTGCGACCGATGTAAACAGTATATGGGGTTCCGACGTTCTTGACAATGGAATCAAGCACGTAAAGAGCGGGAAGCTTCCATTCAGGACGAGTCTATTGCAATCAGTCACCAGTATCAAAAGCATGACGAAAACGAGAGGAGAATATGAAATCACTCCAGCAAGTAATGTATTCCAGACTCACCGATTGGATATGTTTCTGGAGCTCATTGGATATAGCTTCAGCGTACTCTGTATTCTCTTTGGCGATGAGGGTTAGATTGCTAATTTCGGGCCTGCTATTCATCCTCAAGTCTTGCAGTGCGTCCCGAAAATCGGCTGCTACTTCAGCTGCTGGGAGAGACATAATGGGCAAGGATGCTTTGGGTTAGAGCAAGAAGAATATGTGCTGTGTCAGGGTGTAATGTCGCGCGCAGAGGACAGGGTAAGCGGCTCGCGTTTCGATCAGAAAGTACCAACACTGCCAATGTCGATGCCAGATGAACAAGATAGACAATATGCTTCCTCGCTCTCGACGAACACACGTAATGACAGTGCTTGTTGATACTAGCTATGGCCGCGCCAAATGACGCAGTGTAGACTGCGCCGGTACAGCTAGGCAGTAACAAACTCGCTCTCCTCCAGCTACTGCAATCCTCCTTATGTCTGTATCCTCCCTCCTTCAATCCAAGTGTCTGGAAACAGTGCGCGACTGCTGTGCGGTCGTCAACAAGACCCTGGAGCGGTTCACCAGCGATGCTGCGATAACAACGCCAAGGTCTGTAAAAAGTGCTGCCGGTATCGTGAGCTGCTGCTTGTTTATGAAGCAGCGGTGAACTTCAAGCGTATTTTGCGTGAATTACTCGTTGCGCTGAGAATGGCGGATGGCGTCGTGGGCCTGAGGGCGGTGGTCAGGCAAGAGAGAGTAGGACAAAGACGGAGGGCAACGGCTCAAGGCGTTGGCAGCAGCAAGCCGCGAACCAACCCGCGCACGGACGCCACCTGTCGGGTCCATGCCAAGACCGGCCTCGGCTAAAAGTATCGCCGCGCGTCATGGGCAGTCGCGCTCCCTCTCCAACTTTCCTTTGAAGGTGATTCTGACCACCATTCGCGCCCTCCACCACCTTTACCGCGATCAAACCTATCAAACGTCCACCAAGAACCAGCGCTATTGGACTGATACCAAACTTGGATAAAACCAGCTCCAATAGACACGATGGAGGACGTCGAGTTTACCAAGTCGCATTCGCGATCGCCGCTACCTGAAGCTGGCAACGACCCAGCCGACCCCTTGCGCCCTGAGATCGACGAGGAGAATTCCACCCCAAATCCTCCGATCGGAGACCCAGACCAAGATATGGAGGTGACGGAAGACCGACCGGGAGACATGCCTGACCAGGACGACGTCGAAGCTGGCTTGTCTGACAACGAGTCGGTTCTTTCAGAGGCGCTCAACGATGACCAGATGGACGAGCAATTTGGCGACTTTGACATTGACAATGTTGCCATCGACGAGCGCCCGGCCCAGATTATTGATGAGGACAATGTCAAGCAGATTGGTGTACACAAGCGCAAGCGCACTGCAGGTGAAGGCGAGGAGCCCAAGAAGAAGAAAAAAAGGGCAGACAAGCCGCGTAGGAAGAAGAACAAGGACGGCGAAGAAGATGGAGACACTGCAGAGGGTGAGAGGCGGAGCAAACGATCCAAGAAAGCAGGCAGAGTACGGGACGCAAGCCCAGAAGGCGACCCAGACGAGCATCTCACCCCAGAAGAACGTAAGTATTTAAGCGCATAAATCGACTTCTCGCGTGTACTGACGGTTTCTGTAGGCAGGAAGAAAGCACTGAACGCTCAGATCGACAGCATCGTCAAGGGCAGCTCGAACCGCCGTCGCAAGAAGGATGGAATCGACCTTGAACAAATGGCCGACCAAGAAATCGAAGAGATGCGACGTCGCATGGCGCAAGCCGCCGAGGCCGACAACGAAGGCAGAAAGCGCAATGAGCCAGCGCGACACAAGCTCAAACTTTTGCCAGAAGTCACAGCTTTGTTGAACAAGAACAACCTGAGAGACACTATTGTGGACCCTGAAGTGAACTTGCTTGAGTCGGTGCGCTTTTTCCTGGAGCCCCTGAGCGATGGCAGTCTTCCCGCATACGATATCCAAAAAGAACTCTTCGCTTCGTTGGCGAAACTACCCGTCAACAAGGACACACTTGTCGCATCGGGTATCGGCAAGGTTATTATGTTCTACATCAAAAGCAAGAGGCCCGAGTTGTCCATTAAGCGACAGGCTGAGCGGCTCTTCACCGACTGGACCCGCCCTATTCTTAGGCGAACGGACGACTACCGCAAGAAGGAATTTGCCCAGGCCGACTACGATCCAAGGTATTTCCCTGCCTTTGAAGTTGATCATATGTATGCTAATTTTTTTGCAGCCAAATCAATACGGGCGACAGGACTGT